GAATCTTTTGCTTTCTTTTACTTCTGTGCACAGCCTTTGCTTTTGCTTTATTAAACTGCCTTCATCTTGACCCACAAGTTTCTTTCCATCTTATTCCCCCCCCCCCACCATGTCCTGCTGAGGAGGCTTGGTGGGCACCTGGCATCCAGCCAAGGTCAACCCATCACAAACTCACACAACTGGAAGACCACAATGGATGGCTACAAACTCTTTCAGAAAGATAGCAAGGGAAAAAGAGGAGCCAGTATTGCACTTCATGTAAAAGAGAAATTTGAATGTATGGAGGTGAGCTATGGAAACCACAAAAGTTCTATCAAATGCCTTTGGATCAAGACTGGAAGGATCATCACCAAGGGGGATCTTATGGTAGGTATCCGTTATGGGGGCACCAAGCCTGTCAGAGTTCAAGGCGTGTCTGGCTGATGCTCTTAATCATACAATTTAGTGTTAGGTAGTCCTGCGAGGAGCAGGGAGTTGGTGTTGATGATCCTTATGGATCCCTTCCAACTTGAGATATTCTTTGATTCTATGATTCTACTTTACTTTTAGGGAAGTACATTTTCTTCAAACGAGTGCACTGACCTAATGCTTTCATTAGCTAGGTCTTACTCTAAGGCTTGTTCTTGCAGTCCTCACACACCACATTGCCACAGAAGTTTGCCTCAGGATTACGCTTTGTGTGTTTTGTTTTGGTGCCAGGAAATACTGTCCTTTTAATTAGCAGGTCTATTTCTTTTATAAGTGTGTAAGTGGGTTCATTGCAATTTCATCTCTTCAATTGTGGTCTAGCACCTAGGAAGTAAAGAAAAAGGAAGCAAGGACTGAATTTTTTCATAATTTCTAAAGAGGGATATTTCTGAGTGGCTGTACTTGTGTGAGTGGGTGGATAGATGGATAGACAGACAGAAAAGAGGAGTTTCCTTTATGGGATTCCAATAATTGGTATGTGGTTTACAATCCGTTCATCTGAAGGACTCTGATTTTAATCAGAATCAGGTTTGGGCTACCTCTAGTCTTAAAAACATGCCCTGCTTCAGTCAGTGACTTTTCTTTGACACCCACAGATCCCAAAGAGTAATGTGGGCATTTACCACCAAGAGCTCAGTGTCAGGTCCTATAATGGGAGATGGTTCAGAGCCCTCTTCCAGGCAGTTTTTCTGATTGCTAGCTTCAGAAGTAGAAGCAACTTATAGTGTGGCATTTGAAACTGGCATTCATCTCAGATGTTTTTTTCTTTTCTAGGCTCATCCAACTCTGGGAAAGCCATGTGTCATGGTTTAGGCCGAACCGGCCATCGGGCAAGCAACAGATGCTCCCCCCTACCCCTCTTCAGAGAGAGAGGCAGAGGAGGAAAAAGAGACTCTGAGTTTAGAAGGAACTAAACTACTTTAATGAAATATTAATAATAAAATAAAAGGAAAATAATGAAATATATACAAAACAGTATCAAGCTCCCAGGATGACAATCACAACACCGGCTGGCACTGGGGCAGTCCCAGGCTGGACTCAGTGATGGACAGGAACTGGATTCTGGATCTGGATTCAGGATCGGGATCAGAGACAGACGAACGCACTGATTGGGATCAAAGGAAGACGAACAGACAGAGTCCTCCTAGGATGCCGGCCATTGAAGAAAGAGGGCTGACCCTTTGATCCCTCAGCTTTTATACTGAGTGTGAGGCAGATGGGATGGAAGAGCCTCTCCGCATACCATTCCTTGGCATCAACTATAAACATAGGTCTTATCACTCTGAGAGAGCGAACATTGTCTGCACAATATGCTGTTAATTTCAGTTGTTAGAGAGGCCCAGCTAAGAAGCAAAGTGACTGAACAAAATTGGTCCTGTTTTACCTCAAACCAGGACATTCCACCCTTTATTCCATACCATTTTCATCTTGCTCAGATCAGTATTACTTTTATCTATCAAGTCTATACACACACAGATATATATATAGATACATGCAGGTCACTCAACTACGATTTATCTTTATACACAAAAGTTCATGAAGTCCATTTAGTTCATGATTGCAGGATCTCATCTCAGGGCAGGAAAGATGGTACGAAATTCATTGTGGTTTGTGCCCATGGGTAGCATGTTCATCTTGAAGAGTTTTCTAGACGCCACTTGATGAAACTAGCTCAGGTTTCACCACCACTATGTTATTCTGAAAAACACTTATTGAACACTGTTAGCATTATGTCGTGATCAACATCACACAGCTCAGGATTGAGTATTCTCACCAAGGGTTAAATTCCCTTGAGGTACACATTGAACTCCATTCTTCAGCATCACCCACCAAGTACATCCAGGTCCTTGAGCAAAACCAGTTCCACTAATAGATTTGCTTTTGCCTGAAGCAGGAAAAACCCAAACAGTTTTCCCTAACAAATTCCTTTCATGCACCACAGGGACTTTATCCCCTTCTACAGTATGTAAAAGGTCTGATTGAGCAGGACCAGCTCGATTGATGGATCCCCTGGTGTTAACTAACCAGGTGGCTTGTTCTAAATGCTTGTCCCAATTTTTAAAGGTTCCACCTCCTAT